TTTTCTTTTGAGAATCATTTCATTCTATTCATCTGCAAACTCGTATTTCACTCGGTCGTTCATTTTGAACTTTTCGTTCCCGCAACCCGCAATCGTAATGACGTCAATGAAAATGACATTTCCTTTGTGACGTCTTTCTATAATTTTCAGGCTTTTTCATAAGTTTTGATTGAAAATCAATGAAACATGTTTGCTTCTCATTATTTTTGTTAATAAAATCTAATAAACAAACCTAAACATGGATACACCCGGTGAATACGAAGAGAATGACTTTCCTATCTGGCAAGAACCGCGGTGCGAACCCTTGGGAGCACCCAAGGAAACACTTTGTGATGAAAACAATCCAGATCAGGCCCACGGAGATAGACTACATGCCTTGGAAGAAGAACAGGAAATCCTATCGTCATCTGTTTTCTCCTTGACTTCACATCTCGCTCAGGTAGAGTTCCGTTTGCGACAAATTTTGAAAGCCCCGCCGGACGAAAAAGATGAAATGCTGAAAGCTCTTGAAGAGTTTACTTCACGAGGAGTGCACGATTCTCGGGCAGCCCCTCAAGGCAGCTCGGGAGATGCTTCCTGCACCGAATGTGTTGAGTTAGAACGAAAAATATCGCGCCAACGTACGAAACAGGCACACTTTATAGATAGACTTAAAGTTCAACTAAAGGAATTAGAACGATTTGCGGCAAACCCGACTTCCACAAGTGACAGTAAACACAGAACATTAATTGATCATTTACGCACTGAAATAGATCAGAACCTTGAAGAGGGATGTCATCAACCACTCACTGCTGAAGAACTCAGGCACCAGATAAACTGTGCCGTCCGACAGTATGCAGACAGACAACTATCGAAAGATGAAATCATAAGTAAACTGCAAGCTCATATTGAAGATATGCAGAAATTCATCAAGCTAATGAAAAATGAGGAACTTAAAAACACTAAAGTAACACCTGAAACAAAAAATGTTGGCAAATCTGAGAAATTTGACAAAAACTTCAGCAAAAGTAAAAGTAATGATGATTTGAGAGCAGAAACCATAAACTTAATGAGGAAAGCATCTACTTTGATTCAGATCTTTACAGTTTCACAGTTTGGTTGCTCCCCCAATACCAACAGGAGGCATGAAGGCAAGTCCTCGACTATTGTTACACATTGGGGCAACTTGCGTGCAAGACTGGAGATGTCAGTTGATGGGGTGCTCCACTTAGTTTCCAGAGACCGACCATCTCATACCATGGTGGATAATTATGACAGTGAGTCTGAAGAAGGTGGTATTATTATAAATGATGCTCCACTGACTACTGCAGTTCGCAGACACCTTGCTATTAACTTGCGGGACCTCCTACACCATGGACTGACTGGCCCTGAATCAACCTCTCTTGTTCCTATTATTGGATGTTTTCCTGTGCGCAGATCTTCTTCATCCAGAGCTACACATATATGGGAGGTGATCCTTCGCTACTATGACTTAAATGATGGTGATAGATTTAATTCCACCCCAGCAAGGAAGTTAAGTCAAAGCTTTAACTTGGATATTGTTGGAGGAACGGCTATAACTAATAAACAAAGTCTGTTGAGTGCTATAGGCAGCATTGTGGCATCCCATACACCATACAAAAGGAGTTATGACGCTCATTTCAAAGCTTTTGTTTGTGCAGCATTGAATGCTCATAAGCTTGTTATCTGGCTGAATATTATTTTGAAAAGCAGATCGTTGATTGATGCTTACTATTCATCAACCAGCTATGTGGTAAACACTGGATTCCAAGATGCCCTACAAAGTTTAGATCGCCTAACTCCATACAATTTTGATCTGCCTGTTGACCTTGCTGTTAAGCAGTTTCAGAATATCAAAGATGTATTTATGTAATTAAGTAATTTTATAAGAGTACAATTTTATACATAATGTATATTTGAATACTGTTTCTAAATGTGACAAGAGGCTACAGAAAATGTACCAAATCTAGTCTGATTATTGTATTGTTACAAAAGTACTAATCACAATGTGTTCTCCCACCTTATTAGAAGAGTTGTCATCGAGTTGTATATGTTGTAGATAATGATTGTAGCATCTTGTCACATGTTTGAAAGCAGGCTTATGATGCCTTCCACGATATCAAACCATGCTGTATGCATTTACTGTAGTCTATATGGATCTAGTCTAATTAGTAACTAGTCCTATTTCTGATTATTTTAATTGTAATGACCTACCTACTACTATTGCTCTCTAAAATTTACAAATATAAAATGAGCCAGGCAAGGAAGAAATCTGGGGAAATAACAATATTTATTATGGGAGGAAATAGATGACCAGTATTGTAATTTTATTTGAAATCAAGTACATTCCAATCAGATCTCTCGAAATTGGGTGATAAAATACCAAAGATGTAATTAGTATTATTGTATCTGTGTATAAAACTATCATTGTTGCTAATTATAATGTAGTTGAAGCATGAACTCGTAGTTTTATTTTATCGCTTTTGTTGTTCGCAAATCAATTTATGCGGTCTGTTATCAATATCATGGAGCAGACGAGTATGTACTTTGCCCAGTAGGTATATTGTGTGGTTACCTTGATTATATAAAAGTGAGGTCAGAGTGGCTAGTTTATTTATCAGAGCTGGTTCAATTTTATTTGAAGGCCACGGTGCCCGTGGCCAGGAAGCTCGATTCTTTGGTAACGCCATCTAATGGTGGCACATCTAAGCTTAGCTTGTAAACTATTCTATTTCTTTTACAGCCAATGAGATGCTTAATTCGAGTACTTTAATTAAAGATTGGATTTTAGAAATAAGTTATGACAAAATTGGAATTACTAATGACGAACCTCGAGGACACTCAATACCACACGCTTTAACATTACCTAACATCAGGCCCTTATTCCCCGCAGGATAGGCAGAGGCATCACATGATTGCTGAGTAGATCCCCTATCTTATCAGGTCTAAATCTTACCCTTGTCATAACTTTCGAAAGCTAATACTTTCGCCAACTTTTTAACTTATATGTACAATCAATTTGACTGGATGTCGGTGACCTTTTCAAATCGTGGTGGTTCTGGAGTCTCTTTGTAGACACCCAGTGTCCCAATAATATAAGGACATGGTACATTATGAAGGCACTATAACGAAACCACTCCAACCCTGCTATTAACTTACCATTTTGAACATTAAATCGTATGTTGTACGATATTTTCATAACGTCAATAGGTACAATTTTAACTTGTAGGACATTACCTATCTGCAACCTGAGACAAATTATAGGGAGTTTTTTATGGAATAGGAGGAAAACGAGCAGACGGATCACCTGATGGTAAGCGATCAGCACCGCCCATGGACATCCGCAACATCAGAGGATCCAGTTTGTGGAAATAAAGGTAAAAAATTAATTGAAACTTCATTTATTAGAAATTGTCACACACATAAATAAAAATTGTATTAAACATTTTAGATTCATATGTCTGCACAAATACTAACAGTAACTGTAATCACTGTCAGTGGTAAAAGTTTATACAACAATCACATGAACAAACACGGTAAAGACAATTTATAACAAGATGATTGATACACTGCTTACTCATAATACATAAATGCAAATTACGGGGTCGTGTATTGATGTTTTAACCAGAATTTTATTGTGTATTTGGCACTACGTTATCTACTTCTACACTAGTATTATAAAGAGGAAGCTTAGATTTATTTGTTGCTTGTTTGTTTGAATTGCAATCCTACATTATTCCTGATATACCTAAATAATAAGGAAACTGTGTGAATTTGTGAGAAAAACTGCCAAAAAATTTCAAATTACTCACGCTGTGAAAATTGTACACGATAGAGCAAAGTGATGTACTAGCTAGTCTTATAGAGGGCAGTAATATCAAAGTAAAAGTCCGCGAAATGTCGTCGATACAAACCAGGCCACATTATTAGTACCAGAGTAACTAGTACACCGGAAATCCCAGAAGAACGGGATCCTGGGACTCTCTAACTCTTAAAACACTGAATATTTTAGTGTAGTACAACAATAGTTTTAGTCTGGAGAAATGACTTATGGTAGTGTTTATCCCAGAAATCTCACGGGAACAAGAACTACACTTTAAAATCCCGGGACTCTGTTGCAAGTCATAGTTTTCATCCCAAAAATCCCACAAGAACGGGAATTATGCGTTAAAGTCTTTATATTTCAAACAAGAGTACCTATAGGATTGAAATTCGGCACAATGGTTTGCAACTTGGGAAATGATATAAAATACTTTTTATCACCGAAACTTTACGGGAACGGGCTCTGAACGGGTAACACCCCGTGAAATTATTTGTATTTCGAAACCACGAAAATAAATTTATTTCATAACATAACATCACGCCTTTTATCCCCGAAGGAGTAGGCAGAGGTGTACATTATGCCACTGTACAATGTAACACCCATTTTTCACTATTTATGTTATGAGTCCCATATAATAGGGGGCCTATTGCCATATACCGGACGCAATTCCAGACTCCGTGCTACTACTGAGAATTTATAAAAACCCAGTAATACTTCTACTGTCCTTTATTCCATAATAAATATTTATTGTAAGACAATTGTAATGAATGACAAAATCTGGTACTGAAGGGATTTGTTAGAAGCGTAGAATATACTTTGGAATAGACTAATTCAAAACCCCAAATTCTGCCAGAAGTCATTATTTTACGCAGACAATGCGCGGGCAACAGCTGGTCTATAAATAAAATTAATTAACCTACAGCGATAAATTAATAAGAAAATCCCTATTTCCGTAGATAAGTAACGTGTCACCCGACAAAAATGGGGATATCATTTCTTAACATAATATTAACATTGTGATTGCCATCAGTTGCGAAAACATCAAAGGGATTCTTTTTATGAAGCATTAGTGTAACAATGTATGTGTTGTTCTTTGTGTTGTATGTGTGTAAATAAAATAATAAGAAATAAATATATTTATCAAAACTGTCGCATATAATCCAAAGGGCAGAGTGTGCAGTTGTCTCACTTAACAAACCTTGTACTAGGCGAGGTAAGTACTGCAAATAACCTTATAGACTGGTCCTAACTATCATATAATTGCGAAACTCGTTTGAAGAAAAGGTGCCATTAAGTAACTCCAAACTAATAACGTAGAGTGTACCGGAGGACATCGGATATTTCGTAGTTAAACTCATACTCTTTCATCACTAATCCTAATTGCAACACAAAAAATGTTGTTCCATTGTGTGTTGACAGCACATCAGATTCTTTACTTAGGTCCCAACATGTTTTCTGGCTTGACCCATTGGTTGAACTGTTCCTCCGTGAGGATTCCTAGTTTGATAGCTGTGCCTTTTAGGGTACCTCCTTCTTTATGGGCAGTCTTGGCGATTAGTGCAGCCTAGAACGAGAAATAGGAATCAGTTAAATTGTGATTTAAAAAAAACATTGGATTATAATTATAAGTATGTTGCCGCCGTGCTCAGAGTCATTTAATGGCTACTTAACCAGTCCTTAGCAATTGTTTATAAATAGTTTAAGTGATCATTCAATGTCTCTGAGTATCGCAGTAAAAGTAACAAATATTATGTTTTTACTAAATAAGGGCAACATATCAGATCAATCACCATTTGCACCGATTGGCAAGCAATCGGCGCCGCCCATGGTTACAATAGAGGAATTACAATGCCGTTAAGCTACTCGCACGTGGAATCCCAACGCAATCATAGTTCCACACTTTTTTTAAGGTGGAAAATCATCCACTTTAATGACTTCTCCCGCCTTGGGTTAGGCGAGAGGGAGTGTCAACTTCTTACTGACTAAAAACCACTCCGTTCCAACTCCTTCTCGTCGAGCCGGAGCCCGGGCATCCCGTTAGGCTTCATAGTGTTCTGTGAGGCCAAGGTATTAATGCAATGGGAGGAAAAAGTGTACCTTATCATAACCAATGTGTGGGTTGAGCGCTGTCACCAACATGAGTGACTCCTGCATGATCTTGCCGATCTTTTCTTTGTTAGCTGTGATGCCCTTCGCGCAGTTCTTGTCAAATGCCAAGCATCCGTCGCCTGAAAAAATATATTATCATTACAATTGTAACCTCTTGCCAGGAGGTTCTGTGTATACGAGTTACAACAACCACTTAAGTTTAGAGCAAGTAACTTCGCCTTTACATCTGGGATGGACTTACCAAGTAGTGTGATTGACCTGAGCACGTTAGCGACCATCATAGTTTTGAAGACGTTGAGCTCGAAGTGTCCGTTGCTGCCTCCGACGGTGCAGGCGACGTGGTTGCCCATCACTTGCGCCGCTATCATCGTCAGCGCCTCGCACTGAGTCGGGTTCACCTTACCTGGAATATTGGGAAATTCGTATTAAATAGAAAATTTGAATTTGATTAATCTGCTTATTCTATTATACATAGTTATTTTTATTGCTTTTGAGATTGGAGAATTTAACATGTTTTATGCTTACCAGGCATGATGGATGATCCCGGCTCGTTCTCTGGCAGCATCAGTTCGCCCAGCCCGCATCTAGGACCGGACGCCAGGAAGCGGATGTCGTTGACAATCTTCATGATGGAGCACGCAGCCACGTTGAGAGCACCCGACACTTCTACCATCGCGTCATGGCTAGCCAACGCCTCGAACTTGTTTGGCGCAGTTTCGAATGGAATGCCTGTAATAATATGAATATATTGAAAAAATACTTCAAACTCGCAGAGACGACAGAGTAGCATACAATCGTCATCACTCATACTCCGTGGATGTGTCGACTAAGGGATCACATTTTTTTTATGGGATAAGCCGGTAAACGAGCTAACGGATCACCTGATGGTAAGCAATCGGCGTAGCCCATGGACACCTGGAACAGAACACCAGGGATGTTACAAGTGGTTTACCGGCCTTGTAAGAATTAGGAATTTGAGGATTTTTGGGAATTTAGAGATAGGGGAGGGAAGGGGGGAGGGTAATTGGGCCTTCAGTAACCACAGTCACACGACGAAACACAACGCAAGCGTTATTATTTCACGTTGGTTTTATGTGGCGCCGTGGTATCACTCCGGTCGACTTGGTCCATTCGTGCCGAAACATGGCTCTCCCAGTCTTACATGATCGGCAGCAGTGTCCTCTGATAAATCCAACCCGATCTTTTAAACTGTGATCACTTACCCGCTTCATGGCGAGCGTGAAGATTATGACAGAACAATATTTTGGTGAGGCCCATACAGTAAACTCTTACGGGCTGTTGGTTATCATGATGTTAATTTTACAACAACATATGATTCAAATGTAATAGGGGATGAGCCTATTGCCATATATAGGCACATTACCAGATTCTGTGGTACTACTGAGATTTTTTTTAAAACCCAGTAATACTTTGCCCGACCCGGGAATCGAATCCGAGACCCCTTGCCCGGCAGTCGCACTCGACACTGCCAACGAGGCAGTCAATTTAATTTTTATGTTACAACAAACAACAATGATAATTTGAAATATGTCATAGACTGTTTTTGAGTAGTCCTGACCAGTGAGGGCCGCGATCTCGGCGGCGCACTTCTCTGCGAACCCGATGCGAGTGTTGAGTCCGGTGCCGACGGCCGTGCCGCCCAGCGCCAGGTAGTGCAGGCGCGGCAGCGTGGCGCACACGCGCTCGATGGCGAACGTCATCTGCGTCGCGTACCCGCTGAACTCCTGGCCCAGCGTCAGCGGCACCGCGTCCATCAGGTGGGTCCTGCGCCACGACCGACACATTACTACCATATATTCTGGTTCATGTTTTATTCTATTAATTAACTCGTCGAGTACCGTCATTATAGACACAATTATAGAACAATAGGTTGCGGTCACCGGTGACCGCTTGGTGTTTGACAGTTTAAGTTACATGTTGCATTTAAATATGTCAGGAAATATGATATTGCATTGAAATAAACTGTAAGATTTATTTAAGGTGTTACAATAAATAAATAAAAAAAAATGTTTACGTGGGATGTTCACGGTAACACGATGGCGCTTTGCCTGGTCGTGTGATGATGGAGGACATGGGGGAACATCAAATTGTGTGATTCCGATAGACAATAGTAATAGTGTCATCTACATATAATAATCTACACCTACAATTAAGAAATTTATGCAAATACAAATGAAATGAAAAAATTGTTTATATTACAACTGCCTCATTGGACGAGTGGTCGCAAGTACGACTACCAGGCAAGGGGTCTCGGTACTAGCACGGAATCTGGAATTGTGCCTGGCATATGGCAATACATTGACCCCCTATTACATGGGACTCGTAACATAAACAGTGATAAGTGGGTGTTACATTGCACAGTCGCCTTAAATGTCGCAATTTGCATCTCTGCCTACCCCTTCGGGGATAGAAGGCGTGATGTTACATTCTGTTATGTTTATATTATACCTTTAAAAGTCAATATCGTTTCTGGGTTTCATATTGAAACTGTTCTACGATTACGTAACACCTAATGTACACACGAATAAATGCAATAAAAAAAAGATTTGAATTAATGTATCTGATAAAGAACCGAAAGGCTTGCAACTCATCACCTGTGCTACATATACATACCTTCCGATCTTAATGATTTTGTCGAACTCCTTTGCTTTGGCTTCCATGGTGTCCCTGAGTGCCACGAGGCCGGGCATGAGCCTGTCCCTGAGCTCCATGGCCACGGCGATGTGCATGGCGGTGGGGTACGTGTCGTTGGAGCTCTGCGACTTGTTCACGTGGTCGTTGGGGTGCACCGGCTTCTTACTGCCCAACGTGCCGCCCAACATTTGGATAGCTCGGTTAGCGATGACCTGGTAAATTAAAAAATATGTTTAGGCGAATTCGTAAGTGTGGGAGACCCATGCTTCGGCACGGCTCGACCGAAGTGATACCACGACCTCATAGAAAACCGACGTGAAGCAACGCTTGCGTTGTGTATTACCCTCCCCTTCCCCAATCTCCCCAATCCCTGAATCCCCAATGATCCTCAAACTCCTAATCCCCAAAAGGCCGGTAACGCACTTGTAACGCCTCTAGTGTTCCAGGTGTCCATGGGCGACGCCGATTGCTTACCATCAGGTGATACGTCTGCTAGTTTACTGGCTTATAACATAACATCACGCCTTTTATCCCCGAAGGGGTAAGCAGAGGTGTACATTATGCCACTGTACAATGTAACACCCACTTTCCACTATTTATGTTATGAGTCCCATGTAATAGGGGGTGAACTTATTGCCATATATCGGGCACATTTCCAGGCTCCGGGATACTACTGGGATTTTTTAGAAAACCCAGTAGTACGTTGACCGACCCGGGAATCGAACCCGAGATCCCTTGCTCGGCAGTTGCACTTGCGACCACCCGGCACTGGAAAGATTTTTCAAATTTTCTGAGAGCCATAACCATAGCTCTAACCAACCGGTTATAGCAACAAGTAATTAGCTCTATTGGAATGTGATGCTCACCAAAAGGTAAGATCGTGAGGTTTCTTTAAAGTAGAAATAAGGTTTTTCTCAACTACATGATATATATGTATATTAGATATAGATTAGATACCTCATTGGTGTTCATGTTAGTCTGTGTGCCTGACCCAGTCTGCCAGATGATAAGAGGGAAGTGACCCTCTTTGTACAGTTTACCGTTGATCACATCATCGCAAGCTGTAATGATGGCTTCAGCTGCAACGCAATTTGTTTATTAGAGTATTTTGGCATAAAAATCCATAATTAAATAGTTACCTAACCATTTCTCACTTTTTTATCCATTTCCTTTTGATTTTTTGTTGTTATATCAAGATTAACATTAATTCTTAAGTGTGGGAGAGCCATGCTTCGGCACGAATGGGCCGGCTCGACCGGAGTGATACCACGGCCTCACAGAAAACCGATGTAAAGCAACGCTTGCGTTGTGTTTCGTCGTATGAGTGAGCCCAATTACATTCTCTTTCCCCAATCTTCCCAATCCTCAACGATCCTCAAACTCCTAATCCCCAAAAAGCCGGTGACGCACTTGTAACGCCTCTGGTGTTCCAGGTGTCCATGGGCGACGCCGATTGCTTACCATCAGGTGATCCGTCTGCTCGTTTATCGGCTTATGCCATAAAAAAAATCAACTACTAAAGTAATAATTGGTAAGACAGTAGTTGCCTGATGTGTGTGACGTAATAGCTATGACGCTGAGGAGAACCCTATTAATAGCTATTACGTCACACCGTGCCAGACAGCGACTACGCTTTAGAAGAGGACGGCAATGTTTAGGTGAATAACTCTACAGGTATTGAGCGCGTGAGCAAGCTAAATTGCACTTTGTTGTTTAGTAAAGAGTCGCTACTTCAATGAGTTGTTTCGCGAAGTGATGCTTCTATTACTTATCTATGACATCTTTAATTCACATGATAGTTAGAAAAGTATCAACATACGACCAACTTACCGATTTTTTTATCTAAACCAAACTCCATATTAACTTTCGCTGCAGCTTTTTTCAGAATACCCATTGCAACGATGACAGCCATCTGCAAATATAATACAAAAAAAAATACTGATTTATTTGATGAGCAAATTTAGTGTGCAATTCAGTATTTTTAGTGGTAATTTAGAATATTTTGATTGAAAAAAGGGAATTTACAGTTACAGTATTAAATGTCACCCGTTTTTATCCCTCATAGAACTTATACGGGTAAGATGAATAGAAAGAAAAGAAAAATTATTTAAAGCCACAACACAGACAGACAAGAATACAGGCTACCAGTGCGTGTGAAGGAGTTTCTGATCTAATGAAATGTGGATGACAATGAAATACAATTACACCTATCAGAAAATGTAATTAGGTATAGAAGGTTAGATATTTATAGTAGGAAAAAAATATACATAATACAGATATGAAACTACACTAGTTTCTCAAACATTACTACTGAAAGATTTAATCTTGATTTGATGTCATAAGTAATAGAAAAACAAACCGGCATGCGTTCCTCAATGCCTCCTATAGGGAAGTTCATGATTGACCTCAGAGTTTGGGATCCATATAGCCTGTCATCAGGTACTTCCAATTCTCCCATAGTGTCGCGCTCCTTTCGCTGTAACATTACAAATATAAACATTGATTACTATAAGCATTTGGCAAAGTTAATCGAAATACAATATTATAATAAAAACGTAAATTTTTTTGGGTTTTGTTTTTTATCAACTCTAGTTTCTCGCGACTTCATGACGTAACCAGCACTACCGCGCGTCTCTTTATTTTTACATATTATTATTGGTTCGAGTTCGCTAAGAATTAGATTTTTACTGCAATGATTATTTAGCCACTGGAGAACAAATAGGTAAATGCATAGGTACATATAGCAACAGTTATTTCAAAAAACAGATGCCAAAATGAGGTAATGTCTAATTCCTGTCACGCTAGGTTCTCCGCTCTATCCTCTCATCATATCAATGCCAGTTTCACTCCATGCACAGTAACTACATTTCTGTGAATACTAACACATCTCACTAAACTTACCATGCCTCGGACACTGCCTTTCGAAGCTGTACAAAGTGGACACGACATTTTTTTGTTTATTAACCTACTATTATTACCACTGAAATATTCTAATATAGCTTCAAACAACGTAAAATTTAACAACACGAAAATTTTTTCATTGAAAGTGTTCACTAAAAATTGTCAAACTGACAGGTGACAATGTTAGATAGAAAAATAAAACTTAAAATATGGATATTACCTGCCATTGTTATTGATGAAGAAAGTTTATATTACTATACTTTTTTAATATGAGCAATAAAAAGATGTACTAGAAGCAAATGTGGTCAAAAAACATAACACAAAGTTTCTGATTTGATTGTTCAATCGAACAAAATTTTCAATTACAAAATATTACATTATATTATTCTCTCGCCTTGGGTGAGGTGAAGAAGTGAAACTTGCTAAAAACCATCCAATCTCGTTTCGATTCCTGCTTTGAGTCAGAGCTCCGGGTTATGAGCAAGGTCGTCTACAGCCCTAGGATGCAAGGTAGATTTTCTTAGAAGAGAATGTCTACAGTCTTATTTCTACAACTCAGGATGCATTACTTAGAATAAATGGATAAATGATAAAAGCAGTATTATTGCAAATTTTCCATTAACCCATAAATACCCAAGCAGTCACCAGTGACCGCTTTCCACTAATATTACATTACATTATAGACCTTATTTCTAGTTTAGAGACTACTTTTGTATGACCAAATATAGGGGATGGATTTCAACGGTTTAACCAGAAATTGTCCTTAATAACAAATAACAAGGCCTTCTTTAAGGACAAGGTACACAGTGCACTTCCATACTGGATAATTTGTCAGCTGATGTCCCATTTTACTTAGATTATAATATCTAATATCCAACGGGTCTCAGGGAGTCAGCTTAACCTGCAACCTCTTGATTTCCCATATTAGTTGAATAGGCATATTGTCGGAATGAATTTATTATTTCCAAATTGTATAAATAGTAAGTGACTTCATTATGTAACTATAATGTTTATATCTATTTATAAACACATTATTCTAAGATAAGATGTAATGTAATGGATTTAGTTCCTCAGCCACAATTCAACGTAGGTATATCAAAAACAATATAATTTCAATAATGAAAATTAAACAGCATACAACATCAAACCCTACAGAAATTTGTAATTTAATACTTATTATAATAGGGTGCAATTTCAACACACTAAATTTAATCATGGATAAAATACCCAGTAATATAATTGGCATTGCAGTTTAGAAGCCAGTCATATATAGAATCACACCTAATATTGCCAATGACATTGCCTCTGGAGACCACCATGTAATAAAAAAAGTTGATATCAAAAGTCCACATTGATGTGATAAAAACTATTTTTAATTTGGTCAACATAATAACTATTATGAGATTCGAACTAACCTGTCAATGCAATGAAGTACATTATCTCTCTTCCCTGGGATCATTTTTCTTCACTGCTTCATGGGAACGATTATTCTTCCAGGTTTTAACTAAAACATTTACCGCCAGCATGTCTTTTCAAAGATATGGTTTACGGGGTTACGCAACTTACCGCTAAGACACTGCAAGTCGAAAAACTCGACTTCTGTATCATAGGTCGGGCACATCTTATGTGTCTTAAATTTCTTGATGTCTTGAATAACGTTGTAGTTAATAATTTAAAACAGTTGGCCATGATTTCTTCAAAAGAATCTTAATTCTTTTCTGCAAAAATGTATAAAAGGGATAATTTCAAATCGTTCCAAAAAAAATGAAACGTCGCCGACTACAACAGACTAAAAAATTAAAAATATAATAGTCTGTTTTAGTTTATGACCACATAGTTCGACGGCCAGAAAAAAGTATAGTGATGAAAATGTAAATCAGTGTACCTTTAATCCCTGTTATTGACGGCGGCAATAAGACCTATTTGAGTTTGAGACCAAATTATTTTACAATCTTGCCTGAGAATTTGAAAAGTGACATTGACAGTTTACGAAACCACATGACATAATGAGAGATCAGAGAGACCAAAAAAAAAAACATACATTCATCATTAAAAACTTAAATAATTCATCATAATATATCTCAGTGATGGTGAGACAAAGCTTTTCACTTACACTCTACTGAAATTATCCCATACTATCATAAATCCTAATCAAATCCTAATAAACTAAAACATATCTATACATATAATAAAATTGTAGAAAAGTGCTGTCTGTACATTGAAAATAAAAATAAAAAAAATAGCAGGGGCTATTGTTATGTCGATGTCGAACCCAAAAATGTAACTAACTTTTTTTTTGTTTGTTTGTCTGTTTGTCTGTTCACGCTAATCTCAGAAATGGCTTATAAATATATATATATTTAACAGGGTGCGGAAAAGGTGATAGTGGTTTTATTCCTCAGATTCCTCTCATTCCAAAAAATTTTCCGTTTAATTTTAAACGAATTCAGTTTCCAGTGAGCCTATGTTTCGCCATGACAATTAATAAAGCTCAAGGTCAGACTCTAAAAGTTGTGGGTATAGATCTAAGTATCAGCTGTTTTTCGCACGGTCAATTGTATGTGGCTCTGTCCCGTGTTAGCAATCCCAGCAGCCTGTATGCTTTCACCCCCGATGGCCATACGTCTAATATTGTATATAGAGAAGCATTACAGTAAAGTATGTTTTTTAGCTACCCAAAATGACTGTGATTATGATCCAAATCTAAAATAAAAATAAGCATATATTTAAAAAAAAAACGCTGCTCATAGTCACTATTCTACGCGAACGAAGTCGCGGGCACAGCTAGTCCTATATAAAATCGTACTAACATGTTAAAAGAATACGTATATTTTTTGGTTACTAAATAAGTTACCGACTCCGAAATTATGTTTAAATACAAAAATGTAAATATTGTTCCGTCTAGCGCCCTGCCCTCTTCCTTTTTGGATAACGAATTTTAATACTGTCTGGTTTATACCAGCTGCTCTCTGCTCGGTTGGCTATCGTCGCGGAAAGCTACTCAAGTACGGCTTGAAACTAGTCGAGTTCCTCGTCAAATAGTTACAGTAAGCCGAAAACCTAATAATTAATTTAGCATGTCTCACGAAAGCTTTAATTTAAACATTTTGACGTATTGTATGTACTAAGAACCACTGTGCCAGGGCCTTAATATATTATGTGATTGGTGCACAATCGACATTTTCCTTCACCGTCAGATTTTATGGAATTAAAAATTATGCTTCCAAGAACTGACATAATCTAGCTGATGCAGCATTTGCTGAACAGTGTCAAACCCATTACTAATGGATTCATGACACTCATTTTAAGGAAAAGAAAGAAAATACATTACAAAAGATAATAACCGCCCAAACTAAAGTTTGCAGTGAAATAGCAGAACTTCATAACTAAATGACCCGTATATTACTAATATTCTATATTATAGTATTGAATATTAGGTAGGTTTACCTAGTTTGGTGGTTCGCCTTTTCCAAATAAATTCATGTGCTTTTTTCTTATTTCTGAAAGTATTAGTATTATTTATTTTATGTAATCGACAAACGTAATAAAAAACAATAAAATATTACATTTATTCATATTTATACTGAGCACATTTTTAGTTTTATAGAAACTACTGAGTTTAGAACGCATCCATAGCGACAAGAGCGCCCCTAGCGTTAATAGTCGAAAGTTGACACTCGGCCATGTTCGGGTTTTCTCGGGTTAGTCACGCCTAGACTCGTTCGAAAAGCGAAACCAAGTCATTCCACGGCGATGTACGAAGACTGATGCTCTTGTCGTGGACTCCCTGAGCAAACGTGCTATTTTACTCATTCTAACGGGCTTTGATATCCGATAAAGATATTTTTATAAGTATAATGTTGTGATTTAAACCGTCGTTTGTGGTGTTAAGTGTTCCTTACGTATAAGTGAAAAAATATACAAAGAATATTGTGTGTGGTGCAATAGTGCTCACGGCAGTTTCCCCTTATCCTGGATTCTAAAGGATTGTTGTTTAACCAGCAAAGAGATAATCTTTAATACGGTAAGTTTTATAAAGTTTAATACAGCGGATCATTCTTGGAGACAGAACGCGTGGCGTTTATTGGAATGGCTTCCGTTTATCGACTCGCGTGCGCGGTAATGGCTGACTTTCTTTTCTTTCACAGAAGGGATTTCGTTGATAGATATTGGCGAGAATATAAGTCAGCAACTTAACATGGACTGTTTAAGAATTAGTTTGTTATTTGTGACATTCTGTGAATGTAGGTGGTAGATTACACCGAGTGGGTGGAGGCAGGGAATGTAATCAAAATGTTGCGGCACGGTAGGCCTGGTATACCGGTCGGTTGCGGTCCTCGGTCGTGCACCGTATTCGTTCGTAGTGTTGTCTATTCGATAAGGCGTTTAGTTTTTGAAACTGACGCACGTTCAAGCACAATATAGTGATCATTTTTTATCCACGAACTTTGTAGCATTCCCACTAGGTAAATAATATAAATATAGGCTCGTTTCCGTCCAGTATTTACATTCGAATGTTTTAACAATAAACAGTGCTTACCAGATAGTGATAAATTAATGTGTTTGAACTTTGCACTCAGACTATGAATGAATTTTTATGACTCACCATTACAGAATTTTAAATACCTAGTTATGTTCTTAAGATTTTAGCTAATTTTGTCTATGGGGTATATCAGCAAATGCCTTTTTAAGGGCAATACCACACAATGAACTACATTGGCATTCCGATATGTCGCCATGAAATATTTCGGTGAAGTACCTTTATGTTATCATCAAGTCTTCTACTTAGTTTTTAAGTTTCAAATATCTTGGTTAATACTATGTTAATACTATACGTGGAAAAACCTAACAATCTGGTACATATCTATCTAAGGTTAACTAATGGCGTAAGATTACGTATTATATATGCCTGTTTTTGTTTGATACAGGTACTCAAAAGACAATACCTATTAGTAAATATTAAAGTTTTTATGCATGTCGTCATTTCTTGCTCTGTGTTCGCAACATACGATTCTCTTATCTGTACCTACATCAAATCGTAGTCGATTACATTTCTAAATTAAGTATTTCTTACGATTTATTTTTAAAGTACTAAGACCACACGTCTTATTTAGCATTCTATGAGCGATTTCACTAAAAATCTTGCAAACGTTACCTATTCATGTAGATCGACAAAGCTTCTAGTTTTTTTTTCATTGTAACAAATAGCAGGCAGGTAAACGAACCCTGTTATTTTTCGCCCCTACTTGACGAAATCCAAAAAGGTTTGTTTTTTTTTTCGAAACTCTTGCGGACCTTTTACGCCGATTCCTAGTCTTTTAACTTTCAAGATTTTTTTTAAACTCTATAGTCATTTGATTTCATCCCTAAACTCGAAGTTGAACTTATCATCATTTGCGCAGACTTTGTATTTTATAGTCCTCCTATGTTGTTTTCTACGACTTTATTTGACTAATAAAAATATCATTTCGCGTATTTCAACATTCCGAGTTGCATCGGCAACTTCGATCGATTAAATCAAACAGTCGATTAAATATAATAAATCCCCGTTCTTTAAATCACCACGATGCTGGTAGATGCGATGCCCTTAAATTACTACATTAATAAAGTATCGGCACTCTTCTGCTCACAAACTCAAGAAAAGATAGAAACGTCTACCTACTGATAGTGTTTTGATAACTGATTAGGCCCATTATTATCTTATACTACCTCAATGTCATCCAGATTTCGATTTGTCGTAGGTAATTATTACGTTAATATCAATTATAAAATGAAATTGTCAACTCCATGTAAATTTCATTTTATACGTACCTGATAAAATGGTTAACATCTGGATGGATGATAATTTTTCTCCTTATCATTTATTGGATGCATGGAGCTTACATGAACTTGGTCCTTCATTTTCTAAAATTTTCTAGTTGATTTGTTCACGACCTTCACCATCAGACTTTAGTTGTTTACCTACTTGAACCAAGAAACATCTGTTTATTGTTTTTAACGGCAAAATTAATATAGTTTATTTTAGAAGTATTTTTGACGCAATGAGTTCGTTTAGTTCCAAGTTGTAGGTAATGGTCGTAATACCGCAGTTTCCATAGATCTTAAAGAAGAATCGATGTCTTGAGTTAAACAAGTGTAGGAGAGCCATGCTTCGACACGAATGGGCCGGCTCGACCGGAGTAATACCACGGCCTCACAGAAAACCGACGTGAAAAAACGTTGGCGTTGTGTTTCGTCGTGTGAGTGAGGTTATCGGAAGCCCAATTAGCACCACTCCCCCTTCCACAAACCCTGAATCTCCAACAAACCTTAAATTCCTAATCACCAGAAAAGGCCGATAACGCACTTGTAGCGCCTCTGGTGTTTCGGGTGTCCATAGGCGACGCCGATTGATTACAGGTGACCCGTCTGCTAGTTTACCGGCTTATGCTATAAAAAAAAACAAAAAATCGAACACACGTGCATAAAAAAAAAGTCAGAAATATTTGTTGTATACGCGGAAAATGATTAACGAATAGATAATATGCAAAAATATCTGCCCCCTGACAAAGTTCAGTGTGTCTTAAGAAACTTCCATGCAAATGCAAGCAAACAAATGTTTTAACACTGGCTTACATGATATAATATCAGCCGTCCATGTGTGGTCTCAAATAAGGTCGGAATCTACAAGTGCCTCTATCAGATCCAAGTTACAACAGACCCTTATGATAAAATAAATAGGTTACCAGTTAATCCCTGTGCGGTCACCAAGAGTGATAAGTGGACCAGGTCATTTGATTTAGCTCCTCGACATCAAAACCTACTTGCGTGTAAGGATGATCGAATGTAAGAACGAGATGTAGTACATACCAAATTATATATATACCTGTAAAGATCTGGGTTCATAGTAATTCTATCGCAAGTTTCCATATTCTCATTTTTTTATTAGATTAAGTTCACCTCTTACCTTAGTTTCTTCAGTATTATATTTTTTGCGGACCTACACCTGTTTGTTATTCA